ATCATAACAATCAGATGATCAGGATAATGGCTTATCACCACTCTAAGGTGATAAGTAGTGAAACAGGCTGTCCACCTCTGAACTGCTGCCTATTTGCTTCTGGTCTTTCTGATGAGCAGCAGGATCATGGGTGTTGGACTGGATTTCCAGGAAATTTCTCTTGATGCAAAGTACAATCTTACTGGTGTATCCATAACCATGGCCTACTGCACACAAAGAGATGGAATTAGTTATAACATATATGCAGTTGTGGTGCCTACAGCCCTACAGAAGAGGAACTAGCATCTTTAAGTGGCAGGCAATTTCAAATGCAGCGTTTCTTTCAGCCCAGCAAGCACACAAACTGTTTTTGTGTTTTTTTTATCAAAGGTAACGAGGAGCTACTTTTTACCTTATTTTTAATACATTTCCAAGCCTGTACTTTTAGAATTTTACTTCAGTAAAATAAGTTACCAAAGTTAAAAGTACTTTTTGAAAAGTACTGTCCACTCTTTAGTATTCATCACATATTATCTGCAATATAACAGACTGCTTCAGTCTTACCTCTGGTACAGAATAAAAAGCGTCATCTGCCACAAGTTGATAGACATGTGACGAAGTTCTTCTTGCAGTGGACGTTTCTGGTTCTATTTTGACAGCAGAATTAAATCAGTCGATAGCAACAATTTCTGCTCAATAAAACATTTATATTGCCTTACATTATTATAAGTTAATTGATAATGTATTTAATAGTTGTTGATCTAAATACAAATGGCTTATAACAAGTCAAACCTTCATCTACTACAGCGTACTCCTGTTCTACGAGGTAGTAACAGGCTCCAGAAGACAATTCATCTTCATCTAAAGGAGACATAGTGAGAGTAAAGTGAGGATATCAATATGTTGAAAACAATGAAGTCAAATTTGACATTTTCGAAATGCCTAATATACATATAATGCAATACCTGCAGTTTTATACATTTTTATGCTACATTGTTTTTGTCATTTCCAAATGAGTAAGATGATTGAATATTGATTATATCATGTTCCTATTCTTGTTTTGTTTAATTTATAGTTTATTCTAAACTTAATACAAAATTTCAATGCAAAACTTTTAGTTTTGAGCTGTACAAAGCAAAGTCACGCCTCTCACTCTAGATGAGCGTCTAAAAGACATGCTTGAACCGTATTAGCACTGTGGTTTTTATTTGAAGCACAAGTCCAGGAAACTCATGTTCTCACGATGGCCTACACATTTAGCAATAACAGATAC